AGGCTTGCATCCCACCCTGCCCCCATGCTGTGGTGAGGTCAGTCTATTACCTGTCGTGAACCTTGGCTTGGTGGGAGGCTCCTGCACAGACACCGGGAAGGTGGCAGATGCTGGCGAGGACTGCGCCCGGGACAGAGGCCTGTGGCCACCGAAGGACACGGGGACACCAGCGGCCTCCATGGATGCCTGGTAGTTCCTGAGCTGGCGGATCCGCTGCTGCTCCAGAAGGAGGGCTTGCTGTGGGGAGAGCACCGGTGTGTGGCCAGGACACCACCCACTGCACGGCTGCAGGGCCACAGCACCTTGCAGTTCACTTGCTCACTCATCCGCTCACAGCCACACACGGGCCACATGAACACCACAATATGGCTGTGTGACAAGGCAGTGCCCTGTGGGTGCTGCGACACCTGCCTGGGGCCAGAGCCCAGAATGAGGACAGCACAGGCCCTGCCCTCAAGGACTGGACTTTCTCATAGGAAGACTGGGTCAACAGGACTTCTGCAAGGGACTTCATTACCACTGTGATGTGAGCCAAGGTAGTGGTAACGGGGACCTGCCCTCACTAGTTCCACCTGGGGGTATAGGGAGGCGACAGAGATGCGGGACAGAATGACCCCTCTGCTGCACCACTGACCACCGCCCTGCTAGGCATGGCTGGGACTAGGACTTTGTCAAACTGGGGTGAGGAAGCAAAATCACAGAGACAGAAATGCCACTTCTACTTCACTGTGGCCACTTCCCTGCCCTGATGTCACCCTCCCACACACCCTTATTTTAGCTAAAAGAAAAAACATCCTAGTCAGCGTCCAGCTCAAGATACTGCTGGGAGGGTGTGGACAGATGCACCTCTTCAGGCAGCTGAGGCTTGTCCGATATGCTGATGGAGAGTCACCCAGTAGGGACCTAGGACATACTGTGAGATACAGGCCCAGCTGCCCATCCCCAGGATGGTAGAGTGGACTCAGTGTGGCCATGCCCAAGAAGCTACCCCTCCTGATGCCACCAGAAGAAGCTTCCTCCAGGACCTCCAGAGCCAGCAAGGGGGTACAGCAGTGTCCACGCCTCAGGCAGGGCCCCAGGAAGAAGCAGAGTGCCCTTGCCCAGACTCTACCTCAGGTCCTGTCTTTGTTTTAATGAGTAAGTCTTGTGGTTTTGAAGAACTGGCCCACAAATCCCAGCTCCCAGATGAGAGGCAGGGCCTAGTCTTGAGCCTGCAAGGTGAGGGGAAGGGAGAGCTTCTCTATCAGGCTCCGATGCTCCTGTCTTTAGGAGGCAGAGGCAAAAAGCAGCAGAAGGGAAGACAGTAGGGGACGGGAGGAGCTGGAAGCAGCCCTGCCCGGCTGCACTGACCCAGCCCTGCCCGGCTGCACAGGCCCAGCGGGTTAGAAAGCCGACTTGCCCTCAGTGTGCCTGCATGTGTGTGCGTGGAGGATTTTAAATTTGATGCCCCACCTTTGGTTCCCTTCTGCAAAGTGCTAGGATCTAGCAAGCTCCTGGGGTGAAGGGTTCTGCTTAGTACTCCCCAGAGGGTGCAGAAAATAAGTGTTTCTAATAATTGTGTCATGCGTGGAATGCCTTTTTGTCCTAAGTAAATGCCCACCTACAAGAAACTAACCTTAAAAGTTAACTTAAATCAGCGGTTCTCAACCTGTGGGTTGTGACCCACGGGAACTGTATTAAAGGGCCACTGACTTAAATAGTTTCCAGTTTCTTATCAGCGTAACAGCAGCATACTGAGTTTCAGTTATGATTGATTTGCTTTCTTCAAGGACTTTAAGACTCTCTAAGACTGGATGGTGTCTGTGGCTCAGTGGGTAAAGAGCTGGCTCCATATACTGAGGGTGGTGGGTTCAAAATGGGCCCCAGCCAAATTGCAACAACAAAAAAAGTGGCCAGGCATTGTGGAGGGCGCTTGCAGTCCCAGCTACACAGAAGGCTGAGGCAAGATAATCGCCTAAGTGTAAGAGTTGGAGGTTGCTGTGAGCTGTGATGCCATGGCACTCTATTGAGGGCAACAAAGTGAAACTCTGTCTCT